CCGCCCGCGGTCATAAAAACTCTTTTCTGGCTCAGTATCCATTTGGGCAAACCATTTGGTAAAACCCTTTCAACCGAAGAAATAGAACCTAGCCGTCCTGCTTGTATGAGCAGAATACGCCAATTATGGCTACCAAACAAAGCCTTAGAGCGCGTAAGATGTGGTTTATCTCCAGCATCTTCAATCTTCTTCTGCAAGTAGTTTGCAATGGTCACAATCAACGCCATTCTCTTTGCATGACGACATCATTGCATTTCTTCTCTTTACTTCGCCTTCTAACCCAGCCTTCCATCAATATTTCCCAGGTCTTATAGTTTGGAACTCCGCCCCTCTCCAAAATGCGAAGACATAGCGACTCAGCTTTCTCCATTAATCCACTCCTCGCGTACGCACCGAGAAGAATGTTGGGGACTCTGACATCATATGTCCTACACTGACCCTCCCACTCTTCGAAAACACCCTCAGCGTCCTTGATCTCGCCGAGCTTCACCAAAGATGACACCATGCACATGTAATTAGCACAAGTCATTCTTCCTTTTACACCTTTCGAAGCTTCCCAAAGCCGGTGCACGCCTTCCTTGTTGGTTAAAGAGGTGTACATTGTAATAATAAAGAAATAAGCAAGGCGGTTATCCTTGGACAGTTTCTTCTCGGCGTGCTCCAGGACCAGAATAGCCTTGTGGGTAAGTCCAGATTTTAGGTATATGTTAGCTAATGTGCACAAAGAGCTCCACCCCACGCCAACGTGTGGGTCGTTGAACATTTCATTGTACACAATCTCTGCCGATGAGGGGCCGTTCAGCTCTCCACATGCACTCATCCACAGGTTATAGGAGAGGACATTTAGGGGTATATGGTTATGCTTCATTTGAAGGATGACAGATGGTACTTTGGTGTACTGGGATGTGGCCATATAGAGCTTCATCATCTCATTGAAGGGCTGAGTTGTCACGGCAAACCCCAATCTGTTCATTTTTAACATCAGAGCTTCTGCCTTCTCGGTGTCCCTTTCTTTGACATAGAAATGAAGAAGAGGAAGGCAGGAAGCTTTCTTTGAAATGGAGCTGTGGAGTTTTTCGAAATATTCTTCAGCAATTTTTGAACCGTGGATTTTAACCGTTAATTCGGACCGGATTGCGTAATCCGAAGCAGACATGGAAGAACTATCTTGAGCTTCCATCCATGTTAGAATCTGCTCAAATATGAAATTAAGAATATATATGGTCATCAGCAATACATCCTTTTCTTGGATCTAAAACCATTGTTTAACCAGCAATGCATCCATTTTTGTTAGTGATCAATACAACCCTAATCCCAATCAGCTTTAACCAGCAATAATCCTTTTTTCAGGATTTAAAAGCATTTTTCAGTGAAACATTCCCCTTCTTAAATCATGGTCAGTTTGTTAGAGTATAAAATTGAGCCTTTGGCAGAGTTTTGGGGAATTGAGTTTGTAATTAATTACATTAGAACTTTGATTAACTTTGTAATTAGTGTAGATTAACACGATGAGAAGCTAAAGAAGAAGGGTTACTCACAGAGTTTACAAAACGCAAAAGCAGAACTCCAACCCCAAACGGATAAGTCTTGTTTGGGAACACCTTTTTTTTAATACGTAGCATTTAATCTTTTAAAGGTACAGATTAACCTTGAAAATACTAAACTAATTTAGACAATCTTTTCAAAATGACAAAAGGTTAAACTATTGCCAAACGGGCCTATAATCAACTTCAAAACTTCACAAATTGAGCCATAGCGTAATAAAAGAAGAGGAAAGACCTCAAGAGCTTGTTTGAAACGACGGCGTTTGATAAGCAACCTAGAGACAGGGCGAAGCTCGGAAGCAGAAGCTTTTCGTCCCTGGTTCACCCAATTCCGGAGGACGGCAGTCGTACTCCATGAGCTATTGAAAATCCGGCGCCGGAGCTCGTCGCTGGTGCCGCGGCGGCGTTCACCGGAAGACGCCGTTTCATCAACCGGTAAAGATCTTGAAGATAAATTCCTCCTCCATGAAGTAGCAACACGAGCCAAATCAACACTGCAAATTTGCCCCAAAAGGCAGCGCTAATTAAAGCGACGATGCATATGAATGAAGAATGCGTATGATTATATGAAGCAGTAGAATTATTTTTACCTTGTTCTTATTAAGGTCCAGCGAGCCGCCGCCATGAGCCTGTACACTGGTTTCTTTGGGAACTTTTATCAAACAGGTTGTGAGCAACCTTAATAAGAAGAAATATATGAAACTAATATAAATTGGAGAACTCAGGAAATCAACAGAGGAATCAGAGAAGAACTTAATGATATATTATTCCATAGGAAAGCCAATTTATAGGCCATACATGAAAGAAACTATATCTGCTAAAAAGAAGGAAAGCCATAGAAGTGTACAGCTACTTCCTAAAAAATAGGACAACAAACTTGATTAATACGGAGTACTAAAAATACTGAGTCAATACTAGACTTATTCAGCATTGGACTTATTCAACATTACTTATTCTTCAACATTCCCTCCCTTAAACTGAAACGTTGAGCATGTTCTCAGTTTAAGCAGACTCACAAACACCCAACAGCTTCCTTAACCTTTGAAAAACTGAAATCTTCAAAGGTTTTGTCATTATGTCCGCAACCTGATCTTCACTTCTGCAAAAGAGAAGCTCAATAGTTTCATCTCTAGCAAGATCCCTGAGAAAATGAAACCGCACATCAATGTGCTTGCATCTTCCATGAAATACTGGATTCCTCGAGAGTCTTATTGTTGAACTATTATCACAGTAAATCAGAGTTGTCTCTTGCTTAAAATGCAAGCATTCAAGAATGTTCCTGAGCCAAATAGTTTGACAAGCACAACCAGCTGCAGCTACATATTCAGCTTCCGTAGTTGACAGAGTAACAATTGATTGCTTCTTAGAGGACCATGAAACTGCCGTTGAGCCCATCATGAATACATAGCCTGATGTACTCTTCCTATCATCAAGATCACCTGCATAATCACTATCAGTAAAT